GTGTGTGTGTGTGTGTGTGTGTGTGTGTGTGTGTACTGGCACTTTTAATGAAACTAATGAATAAAAACATCCCAGATGTGCCAAGATTTACCACAAAGTACACAATACATTTAATATGAAACACATATTTTGAAGTATGCATTGTGTGTTTTTGTTTCTGTAACACAGTTCATGCACATAGTTTTTATGATTTATTACAAACGAACTCACCGGCCTGTTTTCACACTCCAGGAAAGGACAGGTCACCAGGCAGTCTCTGAGCAGGATTTTCCCTCGCTGACATGAGTCCCGTCTCCCTCCTTCATATTTGTAATAAATCAACTTGTCTGATGTCAGAACAAACCAGCGTGCTTTCCAGTTGTGAACAATGTGGCCCTGGACACACATAATTAAACAGTTTAAAATAAAACGGTTTCACATGAAGTGTCAGTGAGTTCTCACAGCTCTTACCCTCTTCACCAGGAAGCCCTGTTTCAGAGGAGCGGTCAGGTCTGGATCCATGAGGGAGGACTGGAGGAGCTTCTTCCTGCCTGCTCATGTTTTAATGTGTCACTGTTCACACCCTCTCACACTCCTGGTAGACCTTCAGAACAGGGCCAGGTCTGGCCCGTACAGGGAGGGGGACCCGCCCACAGCTGACTGAAGAATGAAAACAGTGTGAAAAGGAAGAAAAAAGAGACAGGATATTCATAATTTATTCTTTTAATTTCAAACCAACAAAACCACCAGAAATAATAAAAAAAGACTAATTTCATTTGAAAATGTTTGAATTGACCAAGTTCTGTTTGGGTTAAATGGAGTGACCAGAGTGTGCCATCTTGTTTCTGATGAACAGAACCTGGACCCAGCTCAGCTTCAGAAACACGTCACGTCTTTATGAACCAGGTCACACTTGTTGTCCACTCGGTGCAGTCATCGAGCTGAGTCATGTGTCGACCAGCTGGATGGACAGCTTCAGCTCACCCCGACGCTTCRTCTCATCACTGTTTGGAATATTTGCATCAGTTCGTTGAACTGAAAATATTTGTTACATCAGGCCGCCTGTGGCTTATAGGCAGTATAGGCAAATGCTTAATTAACTTAATGAAGTTTACTCCACACGTGGGGGATGAACACACTGTTTTCAAACTTTCTACCTTTTTATTAGACTACAGTTGATTTAGTCTGTAAAATAATCACTGGATGCTCAGGATGACTCATTCTGTGAGCTCTCAGCTGCTTGTTACTACACACAGGTGTGGTGCAGGATGAAAGTACTACATGATGCAGGGAAGACCAACTCCTGGTGCTGTGTGTGTGAACAGAAAACACAAAGTGTCCAGGCCTGGTGGTGAACGAACCAGACAGCAGGCAGACACAAGGGCTCCAAAACTAAAAGGTTTTATTAAATCAAACAAAAAGCTGACGAGGCAGCAAAAACTTCCTAAATATAGACACTGGGAAACACTGGGAAACACTGGGAAACCCTGGGAAACCCTGGGAAACCCTGGGAAACCCTGGGAAACACTGGGAAACACTGGGAAACACTGGGAAACACTGGGAGGACTGAGACTGGTGGGGTAAATCCATAAAATGAAGCAGAGTTTATCCACAGGTGGAGGGAGGAGACATGAAGAAGAGCTGAGGAGGACTGATTACACACCTGCTGACAGGTGAGCAGGTGAACTGCTGAAAACTGACGGGACATGAAAGTGGGAAACACCAGAGGGAGACACACAACACACAATCCTCACAAAAACAGGATGATGGAAGTTTAAGACATGATCTCACATAAAGTTCAGGTTAAAATCTGTTTTAGTGTTATACCTTCACAAACGACTGATTTTACATTGTTTCATTAATCCCGTTAGTTTAGTAAAATGTTCTTCAAACAGGTGGAAAATGAAGAGTTTTCAGTAAAACTTTTACTAAATGTTTCAAACTGAATTAAAAACAATAAATTCACATCTTTCAAACAGCAGGAATTCAATCTTTAAAACCCCATTTTTTGTTAATAAAATACATTTTATTTGAGTTTGGTGTTTTAGAAATTAATATGTTGACATAAATGTTTTATTTTCTAAACTCAAAGTATCTGATTGTTCACGTTAAAATGGTTGTAAAAAGTTTCACCAGTTTGATGTAAGAATTGTTCTCCATCATACGTCCAAACACTTCAATCATGTTCCTGGTTCTGGTTCTGGTCCTGGTTATGGTCCTGGTTCTGGTTCTGGTTGGCCACATTTATTCTGATGACCTCACTGGTTTTCTGTTAATAATAATTTGGTGCCATGGGAGCTTGTTTTGTTTTTTTATTCTTAAAGTTTCGTTCTCTTGGTTCCAGTCTCCTGCTGCTTTGGTTCTTAACACACAATGTTTTGAAAAAACACATTAATTAACATGAAAACACAATGAGAGCACAGCAAATTTAATCTGTGCATGAGAACTAAATGAGTATAAAAAACTCTGATCCATTATATTTAAATTATTTGCAGCTTAAAGATGATAACACCAAACAAATGTTTGTTACTCAGCATCTGAACATCATTTGTCATCATTAACATGTTGTGTATGGGTTTGATGTTGTGTATCTTCAAGCTGAAATTGACCTTTGATTAGTGAGAGAACTGATATTTCCTCTTCGACACAACTCTTAACATCCTGATCACCATGAGACCTTCCACACATAATTGTTTATTATTTTTAAATGTACCGACCATGGAGTCGACTGAAACATTCTGTCACTGAGACACAGACTCTTGTTTTCAGTCAGTGCTAAAACTCCTTGTTTCTCATCACAAAACACTGGTTGTGTGTGCAGACTCAGCTTCACTCAGTGCCGGCTCCGGACATTTTGGTGCCCTGGGTGAGTTGAAGAGTCTTTTGAGTCTTTTTATCCAGGTAAACATCTGAAGAGGTTGACATGTTTGGGACAACAAAATACAGACTTATTATTGAGTTTGTCAACATGAACCGCTACCTGAGAGGCACTACTAGCCCCTCCCCCATCAGAGTGTCAGATCAGGACAAGTCAGTGCAACGTCAATCAAATGAGAGAGAGGGTGGGGGCGATTGCTGCGTGGGGAGGGAGAAAATGTTTATGGGTAGTTTATTTTTCCTGTAATACTTCATTAGTTTTTTAAGACAAAGCTAACTGAAAGGAGAGCTGAGCAGAGTTACAACCAGGGATTACAAATAATCACTTTTCTCTTCTGCAGTTCAGCGCCCCCTCCAGCAGATGGCGCTCCAGGCGACCGCCTAGTTCACCTATGCCAAGAGCCGTCTGTGTTCACTGTCCATCACTGGTGGTCTGTAGGCCCTCAGCAGAAGATGTAAAACACATTAATGAGACGAGTAGATCCAAGCAYCACCACTGTGAGCCCTGCTCCTACACAACATTATATTCTTTCATTTTGTTGTGTCCTGGTGACCACACCTGCATCATCTCCTGCTGAGATCTCCACATCTTTTAAACCAAGTTGACATTTTCTCTCCTTAAAAGCAACAGAACTGGTTGAGTTAAATGAGTGATGAAGTGCAGACCCTGCTCAGTTCATGTTTGTGGGTTTTATCCTGAAGGTGGACCAGCCTCAGTCTGACAGTCTCATAGGTCTAAATGAACCCAGATGTTCAGTTTGCAGAAAATCTGTTCCAGTTTCTCAGAAACTCCATCAGTATGTGGGGAATGAGGATGTTTTCACATTTGTTCTTCTCCCTGCTCGGAGGCACAGTTTTTACATTTCCTGWTGTGACACAGGCCCAGTTAGGACATCCACATGTCTGAAGTGAGCTTTCTCATGTTTTTGTTCCCGTTCCATCCTTTTTGTCCTGTTGGAGACGTGTTGTGATGTGTGGAGTTGTAATAACTGTGACAGTCCAACAGAAGGTACAAACAGCACTAATAACATTTAAAGCAAAAAACTAATCATTACCAGAAAGTATTCAGGAATTATTAGTTGAAGGGGAGCATAAAAAACATAACATAAAAAATATAAAAATATTAAGGAGATGTATAAAACTGTTATTTACAAAAGATATAAGGATGCTGAGKATGTCTGATTATTGTTATTATCTTTTTATTTTATTTTTTTTTCAGTACATGGAGATGTTTGGGGCTGTGTATATATGTGCGTACATGTGTGTACATTTACACTGCATGTAGACGTACATTTACGTTTATGAATATATTCTGGTATTATATGAAATTCTAGGTAAACAGATTGTTGTTTTAATCTTTATGAAATTGTAACTTAGAATAAGGAAAAAGAAGAATTTACTGTTATTTTTTTGTTAATAAGCTTCGGAGAAGGGTGGGATTAAATAAGTTTTTGACTTCTTCCCATTCCTTTTCAAATATGTTAATTTTGTTAATTTTGTTATCACTTTTTATCATTTTTTAACTAAGGTGCTGATGTGAGAGTTGGTTTGCTGAAACCTGAAGGTTGAGGTGGTCTTCTCTGTCTTCTCTGTAAAAGAGAATAAGAACCAGGATGTTTTTAAAGAAGATTACTTTTCTCTCGGTCAACATTCCTGTAGTTTCTCTGTGCGTCTCCCACAGGAGCACACCTGAACACAAGCCTGCAGGAAGGACGAGGCAGGAAAGAGCTGTGGTGGCCAGCAGCCAGAAAAAAGAGTTACAAAAGTGAAAGAAATAATAAGTGAAAAATAAACTCCTCTTTGATGAGACCATGTGACTCTGAGGTGAGCAGAGTGCAGCAGGTGTGTCTGGTGTCACCTCTGTGTAACATTAACCATAAATCAAACAATGATTCTGGTAAGTAAAGGTGGTTGTGTGTTGGTATGCCAGGATCTGACCGGGTTCTGACGCAGGTCGGGTCACRTGGGCCGGCCCGTTGTCCTGGTCACACACTGCAAACACCTGGAAAACTGTTTTCTTAGTCCACAGACTTACAGTTCTCTGGGTGTGTGTTTGTGAGTCCACAGCTGCTTACACACAACATGTCCCTGTCTTCAGCTTTATTACACTGAAGTCACGAACTTCCTTCTTCTGTATGACAACAAACGGTTGTTTCTCMGGGACACAAATGATTGGTCCAAAAACTGTTCAAACAGGTGTTTCTCTTAACTAACATGGTCAGTTTGGACCTGCTTCATCTGCCTTCAGTGAACGCTGCAGTAAAGAAAGCTTTCAGGTGGGTCTGTTAGGAAAACTGAGATAATCCAGGAGATCTGGACAATCATAGACCTAAATCTGAATCATAGACCTAAATCTGAATTATAGACTTTATTCTGAATCATAGACCTAAATCTGAATCATAGACCTAAATCTGAATCATAGACATAAATCTGAATTATAGACTTTATTCTGAATCATAGACCTAAATCTGAATCATAGACCTAAATCT